AATAGTAGGCTGGTGGCTTGCAGAGGAAGAAACACCTAGGATGATAGGTCCTGAAGCCGACACGACGTGGGAAAAAACGGAAGAGCCGACAAGATACCTGGGAATTCTGGTAACTAGGATGGCCCCGCTCCACAAATGGCACAAAACCTGCTAACTAAGCAAATTAACAGAACGGGTCGATGGGGGAATACATTTACATCATTGCTAGGAAGGGCCCTAACCATCAACACATCTATCTTCTCCATGATGTGGTATATTCCATCCATTTGGACTATACCTGATCACACGACCAAGGAACTGAACCGCAGAGCCAGGGCTTACCTCAGGTCAGGCGATCCTGACAAAACTAAATACATACCCAAGATAGCCTGGCATTACATAACAAGAAAGCCATCTAAGGGGGGTGTAGGAATCATCGACCTGAAGTAGGAAACTAAAGCTCTTCAGATCAAGTGGATCATTAAGCTGCTAACCCAACCCAGACTGGCATGGCATAAATTAGCATTAGAGAACATCAGAGCAATAGCCCCTATCGACAATCCAACCAACATGTCAGGCCTCTTCTGGGTAATGAACAAGGAGTGGTCTTCGAAGACTGGCCGCAGGAGACGATCAGCAAATGCCCCACTGAACGAGTCGCGGCCCCCTACCCCTTATTGGACTGCTCTTATTCATATATGGAGGGGAATTAATAATTATGCCCAAAAAGAACAAGAAGCCCAAATCTAAAGATGAAGTGTTGCACCAACCCCTGTTTGGAAACCCATGCGTGAGAGACGCAGGCACTCACTAACTCTCACTTTCAAGCGGCCAGCGATAGCTCTCATGGATCACACACGGAGTATGGAGGGTCAGTCACATCTGGGATGAAGACAGAAAGGACTGGATTGACGAGGAAACAATCAAATCACTCCTGAAGGGTTGCCACCGCAGAGAGGAAAACCTGCAAACAGTCATAAATAGTATCCCGGAGAGTTGGAAAGACTTACTCAAAGAGGAATTCTCTTGGAAGCCAGGCGAGTGGGGAGTTCTGACACAGGAGACGGTACCTGCAAGGGCAAATCAATTCTCCCACAGGGCCCCGGGATCCGACCTCTCGGGGGTATTCACCTCATTCCCGATAGACCTATCCAATCCCTCCCCCTCCATCTATAACACAGACCCACAACAGTCAGTCCTGAGCTCTTTCACGCTTCGAAAAGTAAGAGTATTAGGCAGCTGGCCAAAGGTAATCTTCCAAATTGAAACAGCAATCCAAGATTTAGAGTTTGACCCAGACGAGTGGCCATGGTCCTCCGGCAACAACAGACTCTGCAAAAAGCTAGGCTGGGCCGGCGCCCGGCCGGGCGGACCCCGGCCGGTTGGGCCCGGGGGGGTCCGCCTGGCTGAACCGGGCGTCGCAAAAACATAGCAAGGAATTTTTTATTTTTTTTCCTGAAGGTGGGGTTGTGCTGCACTGCACTAGAGGACCCCGAATCTGCAATAAAAAAGTACTTCGGGGATTGTGGGGGGCGGGGGGAACATGCTGGGGGAGGGATGTCTGCGGGGGGTCTCGGGGGGGGTTGGTGATGGCGGGCAGGAGGGGTCGAGAAGAAGAGGAAGAAGAAGAAGAAGAAGAAGAAGAAGAAGAAGAAGAAGAAGAAGAAGAAGAAGAAGAAGAAGAAGCGGAGGAGGAGAAGAGGAGGGGGAAGAAGAAGATGAAGAAAAAGATGGGAGGGGGGTGCGAAAGGGTGGGCGAGAAGAAGAAGAAGATGAAGCTGGAAGATGGGCAAGGGGTGAGAAAGGGAGGGCGGGGGCTGAGAAAGGGTGGGAAGAAGAAGAAGAAGAAGAAGAAGAAGAAGAAGAAGAAGAAGAAGAAGAAGAAGAAGAAGGGGGGTGGTGTAGGAGACGAGGCCCAACACGCGCGCGCACGAGGCAGATAAAAAATAAAATAAAAAAAATCGGAACTGGTGATCGCTGATGGCGGGCAGGGGGGGCAAGAAGAGGAAGAAGAAGAAGGGGAGGAGAAGAAGAAGAAGAAGAAGAAGAAGAAGAAGAAGAGGAGTAGGAGGAGGAGGAGGAGGAGGAGGAGGAGAAGAAGAAGAAGAAGAAGAAGAAGAAGAAGAAGAAGAAGAAGAAGAAGAAGAAGAAGAAGAAGAAGAAGAAGAAGAAGAAGAAGAGGAGGATAAGAGGAGGAAGAAGAAGAGGAGGAGGATAAGAGGAGGAAGAAGAGAGGATAAGAGGGGGAAGAAGAAGAGGAAGAAGAAGAAGAAGAAGAGGATAAGAGGAGGAAGAAGAAGAGGAAGAGGATAAGAGGAGGAAGAAGAAGAAGAAGAGGAGGAAGAAGAAGAAGATCTCTCTCTCTCTCTCTCTCTCTCTCTCTCTCTCTCTCTCTCTCTCTCTCTCTCTCTCTCTCGTACTAACACACTCACCGCGGTGCGCGTCGGGGGGCGTCGGCGGAAAGCGCGATGGTGTTCTTCGCCGGCGTCGGGGGGGCGTCGACTGCGTTGGCGGGCGCGGGCTTCGAAGGCGACGACGAATGCACCCGTCGGCCGAAGTGAGGCGTCGGGTCGGGCATAGTGAACAATCGGGCGGGAAACTAGAAGCAATACATGAAAAAAAAGGGCCGGTACCTCGCCCACACCACTCTCTCTCTCTCTCTCTCTCTCTCTCTCTCTCTCTCTCTCTCTCTCTCTCTCTCTCTGTCGGAATAATTGGACGATGTGCGCCTGGCTTCACACCGCTACTCTCTGACCACGTTGCCCACCACCATCGCCCACTTACACAACGCTTTTTGAATGCCCACGTCTCTCTCTCTCTCTCCTCCTTTGGGGGGGAGAAGGCCCCCCGCGACGAAAAAAAAAAAACAAAAAAACCCTCGACGA